GAGAAAGCCGAGGCAGACCCTGAGGCAAGCTGGGCAAGCTGCACAGCGGCTACAGCAAGCTGAAGGAACGCAGCGAACTGCCGCGGATGAAAACAAGAGTGAAAGCAGACTCGCGGGGAATCTACCCACTCGCTCGCTGCTCCCTCCTCCGTTTCCGGTGTAAAAAAGAGTCAATAAGACCGAGGATGAGGGAGGGTGTAGGTGGTTGGCGCGATAGTCACTCAACACGCGCACACTTGACTCAGCACATCTCGCTAGGCAGGCTCCCGCGGCCTGGTAGGGCCATAAAGGCCACATTAAGAGGGAGCCATTGCAGCCTGACTCTCAGTCCTCCTTCTCCTCCCATAGGCACACACAAACACACGCGTACTGGAGGAGGAGCAACGTAGGTGGCCCGAGTTATCCCATGAGTTAGCAAACCCTCCAAGCCACGGCCTTTAGCACACCGTGATAAATTCAAGCGCATCAGATTGATTATAGCGAGGAGAGAGGCGCGCAGAGGTTCGATCTCACTCTTTCCCCCACCGTCTAGCGACTCCCTAGCTGATCGGTCAGCTGAGGCGGGATACACATATATACACACACGAGGATTTACAAAAGGAGGCCATTAGAAGGAGACGTTGCCTTCTGACTCTCAGTCTACTCATCTGCAACTTTCTGCTAAATGCGATAGCGAGTTGCCTTCTCAGCCACTTACTCTCGCATGCTATCTACTGCCTCTACATTTGCCACAAATTCACTCAACAAAACCCAACATCAGTTGTGAAGCCGACTTAATCCTGTGAAGAAATGTTTTTTTAAAATAACGTTATCATGGTTGTAAGGACCTGTTTACTTCAACTGATCTTAATCAAAGGCATGTTTAATCAGACTATGTGTTCCTTGAGACCCAAGGGTACCCGTTAGGTAGGTAAATGTACTCTAGAAGGCAAAACGAATTATCCGACTACATTTTATTGTGAAAGTAGATGCATAAAAGGAGAGATTAATATATGCGAAGGGTGAGAGTAAGAAGGATTGCGACTGCAGTAACGCCACTGTGCACTGAATTCGCAGCACAACAGCAGTCATCATCGCCATAGTCGTCGTCATCATCATCATAGTCGTCGTCGTCATCATCATCATCATCATCGTCATCTTCAACATCCTCGCACATAATCTGGCCATTTTGACTGTTACTGCCGTCAGGAGCTCCTGGCCACT